TCCCCGGTCGAGCCGACCCATTCGTGCTACAACTATACTACTAATATAGCTGCAGCATGGCTCTACCACGTATGAATCAAGTTTTGAAAGTGAAAATGTACTTAATCCCATTATATAAATTAAAAACTACCCATACGATCGCCTGATTTCCCAAACGGCAGAAACGTACATAATTGTTTCCGCTTGGGCTTATTTAGTTATCAAAAAAGTGAAATTGAAATTGTAGCTAAGTAAATTAATTCAGAGAAATATTTTAAATCACGTTTTTGAACGCTTATATAGCCAATTATTGTGGGTGTTTCGTTAGAAGTGTTTACTACAAAGATCAAACCGCGCTTCCTAAATAATAATTTAGCAATGCTTTGCAATATTTTGATGTTTGGAATACCTAACAAGTACAAAAAAAAACATGCATGAGTACCGTGGAACACTCGGTTGGGACGAAGTTCCTTTCGTAGTATATCATTATTTTTTTATGGTAGAGGCGGCCACGAGCATTCGGCTCACCTGGTGATAAATGACTACCGCTGACCATGAACAACTGCAACACCAGGGGAACTAGGGGAATTGCAGATGCGTTGCCGGCCTTTTAATAAGGAGTAGGCCCTATTCTTGAAGGTCCCTTAGTCGTATCGGTCCGGAAAAATCGCTAATGGTAATCGATTCCACAAGGAAGTTGTGAGAAGTGACTTGTGGAAGCGAGGAAGAAAACTTTTTCTAAATCGCACAGCGGTGGACCGCCAATCATCCAGATGGTGTGGATGGTATCGGGAGTTCTGCCGCGATGTGCGTTCGTGAAATTTAGCGGCTGGGATTAATCCGAACAATTCCTCAGAGCACTCCCCGTGGTAAATGCGAAAGAAAATGCAAAGGGATGCAACATCTCTTCGCAGTGCCAATGAATCGAGCCGATCGGAAAGGACTCGGTCGTCGAGGATTCGAGCGGCTCTGCGCTGGATGCGGTCAAGTGGAAGGAGCTGGCATTGAGCCCCTGCCCAGCGATGGGAACAGTATTCCATGTGAGGCCGAACCTGCGCTTTGTAAAGTTGCAGGCGGTGTGCCTGCATGAAATACTGTCCCGCTCAACTGAGCACGCCAAGCTTTTTAGAGGCCAATTTGGCCTTCTCTTCCAAGTGACCACGAAACTGCACGTCACTCGATATACGCCTTGAAACTGAGGAGATACGACAAAGGGGTTCTTCTTAGCGGTAAACGCCCAAACTTGTGTCTTCTTTATTCATAAACGTATTGCATTATTGATTAACAAATACAAATAAAGGAATTACTAGCGTCTATTAAAATGAAGTGTCATTTAAAATAACATTTCTTTCATGGCAAGATAAGAAAATGTGCTAGGGAGACCGATATTATTCCATCTCGCTCGCACTATAGAAAGGGGGTCGTGACGGAAGAATCTTACACTTTTTCTCGCCTAGCCCCATCCAGCGAATTCGTACCGTGCGATAAATAACTTCATTTCAAAAAAACTTGCCTTATTTGACACGAAGGGTCTTATAAACCGATCTTGATTCTTAACCCTTCCCTGTGCAGTGACCTACATATGGGTCATTGTTATTGTCTTATTGTTGTCTGCAAATCGAACGGTGAGTGTTAACATTTACTCGTAGTAGGACTTACGTGACGTTACGGCCCAGAATCCGTGTGGCTAAGTACCCTCTTACTTATTTCTGCTCGCAAGCAGTATACGTGCACTTTAGACAACCAGTATAATTACAGACTGTGAAGTATTCCATCTTAGGCCCGCCACATACATACGGAATTCCGTTTCGGAATTCTGAACGGGTCGGCCATACACATACGAAATCCTGTTTTGCCCGCAAAATTTCGAACGGAAAATTACCGTACGTGTGTGATGGAGTCATAGATTTTATATGGACTTGCTGCGTTCGGAATTCCAAATCGAAATATCGAAACGGAATTTCGTATGTATGTGGCCGGCCTTAGTCTTCAGAGGTGATGCGTCTTTATGTCATCTCTTCTTTATTTAAAATTTCTTACAGGTGTCCATGCGCTGCGGTAGCTACTGACATCAGGTGGACTGTGACTGTTCCTTTGACACTTCAATTTTATAAAAAAAAGCCCAGTGTGCTGTTTGTCTACGTTCGTGTGTAGATTCGAACGAACTTTTCTCGCTGTTCCGAGCAGCACTAATACCAAAATCAAGTATAATGACGGTACTTTCCATTGGTACGTCGAAGGTATGGATTTTTAGCGCAAATACAAATAAGTATCCATACTTCGCTGAATGACCGAATCAATTAAATTTTGAAAGTAGCATAGAAACGTGAAATTAAAGAGCTTAGAACTAAATTATACCCCTTTTTTTAAAAAAAAAAAAGATATTCTATTCTTTACTTTAGTCATAATTATCTTGGAGGTAAAGTGGAAAATTTTTGACAAAACTAAACTTGAACAAAAAAAGTCGATAAATGATAAAAAAAAAATAATTTCGTGGCAGATTGAGCGGAAACTATTAGTGATATCGCTTTTGAATGTATGAGAGGTTGATAGTTAAAATATCATTCAACCGGGACCATTTCATATCTGCACATTTTTCATGTATACTGTACGGTTTTGTTTTGTTTGTTTTTTTTTTATTCTTTAAAAAAATGGCGGCGGAAGAACATCCACTGCCGAAGAATATCATCACGTGAGTGAAGACAGAGGCGACGGATAGAAACTGAAACAGGAGATGGGCGGCAGCATCTTCCTGTTATGCGCTCAAAATAATGAAAAATAACTGCTGGAGGTTTGGCAACCGCAACAAACATTGTCAATGTTGACTGACTTGTCCACCTTCATGTGAAACATTTTGGCAATAAAAAATATCACAGACAGGTGACGGGAGTCAGAACTTTTAGCGGTCGAATAACGGCACCCTTCCAGCGTAAAGCTTATTTCAAGCTTGTTATATACACCATAGAGCCGTGGTAGCTCAGATGGATAGCGCTCGCTGTAAGTTTCACAGTACGCGAGTAATTCGGGGTCGATCCCCGCCGGCACCAATGAAATTGTTAATTGCAATTTTAAGTGCTGATTTACCACGTGTTCGGCGGTGATGGAAAACATCGTGAGGAAACCTGCATGTCTGAGAAATAAAAAAAAAATCTCGAAGACATGTGAAGTTCGTCAACACGCATTGGGGCAGCGCGGCGGACATTTCCTTGCCCTAAAACCCTCTCAGAAATGGGTGTAGGCCTGTGCCCAGCAGTGGGACGTATATAGGCTGCAACTTTACTTTTTACTTTTTATATACAAACATCGATATGTAGTACGTATTACTTGTATCGCAACGTGTAGAACTGTTGGCACATACTTGGAAATGCTGACGACAGTTTAATTGTCATGGACTGTTATTGCCATAGCAATTACAGTGTCATCAGCCTTTCCTGCCTTTTATTCATTTAACACATGAATACGGTTCTTTTTTTAAAATTAAATAAACGTATTATTTTTACAATAAATTTATTGAATGTTTAATTTCACATATATTTAAACACATAATAATAAATTGACTAGACACAATGACAAAGTTTTCCTTGCATAAAACTTAATAACTAATAAACAATTTTTTTATGTTTTTATGATAAAAGTTGTATCTTGGACGATTACATCTTATTTCTATCAAAGAACAAGAACAGGTATAGTATTTTTATCTCACAATGGATGGCATGTCTTGTGTAGATGCACACTGAGACATTGTTTGTGTGCGTAAGCCTCAGAGTAATTACAATTAAACATAGAGTAAGCGTAACTCGTCAGGACGGAAAGTGTTTAAAGTAAACGGAGAAAAGTTGTTGACAATTAATATTTTATTTTATTCATTTATTTATTTGTTCAAGATAAAGTTCCATAGGTGTCAGTACCCGTAAAACTTAATGACAATATGAGTACTTAAACACTAGTAGGAATTTAGTCCTCAATACGAGCTTCCTCATCAAAATGCGATCCCTCTTCTCTGCTAAGCAAGAAGCAGAGTAATGATTGCCCGCCTTCGTGAGATAAAACATCTATACTAAGGGCTGATTTTTCAAACGTCAGATAAAAGTTATCCATGAAATAAATCATATTAATTATCCTGACTGAATGTAAAAGTTAAACAAATTTTTTTCTACTTTTTTTTGGGAGTTTTATATTTATCGCTATGCCAGCCCCATAGTTACCTATCTAAGAAGCTCACATCCGAGGATTTGTGACTAAAAGCTAATTATAACATCCTAGCGACAACTGATGCAGATTTTGAGTGTATAGTTTGTGCCAGGGCCATGTCGTTGTGGTTTAATTTTAATTTCCCCATCAGCGAGTCTCTTTTATATTTCGGTATATTTGCTTAAATCGCTTATGTTGTTTTCTATTGTATGATTAACTTTTATCTGGTTATTGGAAAATCAGCCAAAAGAATAAAATTTATTTTATAACTAATGCACCACATATATGATTTTATAGAATTTTACACTTTTTTGACTGCACTCATAAAATTGTTGAACGTATTTACCTATTTAATATCACCTTAAATTAACACTAATGTCTTCAGCATAAACTCTATTAGTTATATATTAATAGCAAGACATGTGCAAATTCAAAATACATTTAATTAAAACCCATTGCTTTTTATCATTAGGTCTATATTCGTGTGAACGTAGCTTTACTTGAGGTGGTTTGATTGAAAGAATATTTCTAGATGTAACATCGGAAACTGCGTTGTACTTGTACCACTTGTACCCATCGACGTACTTTTGCCTAAAACAAAATGTCGTTTCATTTTCGCGGGAAAAATGCTTTATTCTGTTAGTTGTTACTGGGTAACATGTCAAAAGTTATTTTTGTGTAATGTTTGATGAATCCATTGTACCAGTTCTATGAGTTGGCGAGTTTTTGCAAATGTTTCGGTGTCACGAGGCGCTTTGGGTATGTGCGAAGTCTTTAGGGTTGTTGCGTGGTTTTGTTTATGCGATGAGAATAAGTCTGAGCGGGATAGTCTACCGGCGGCCCAGTCCGGTCCACAGCAGTCCTGGATCGTGATTATTCGCCATGGGATACCCTGCGTCAGCCTCCACGAACGATCTGCGGTTGTAAGATCTACGTACAACGATAATTAAAACTTATTTTTAAAACAGTTAAATCAATATTAAAAACAAGCGACCCGACTGCAGTGATTTTATTTTATAAACCAATAAAATTCACTTTATTTTTTAAAACAATAAATAATACGGGGAAGCTTGCAACGCACGTAGGAAATTATACTTCTGTAGCGTAACAGAACAAAAAAACTTGAGAGACAATTACCCACTGAAGTTGTCGCTTTTACGAGTCGTGCTCGCGCATCGTAACAACTTCATGGTGGCGTTTAAGCGTCGGCGTGCGCGCGCATCGTTAAAATGCACTCTCATCGTTTTTCCCAAACGCCCCAAAAGAAGCATAACTTCAAAATTCACCATATTTGATCACATTTTAATGGTTTTTGCTGACACTGATGAGTGTCAGTAACTATGGAGATGAACAGCAGCGTCTAAAAAACTTGCGGTTGCCAACCCGCTTGCAAATATAGCAAATATCCGCATTATGAGGCAACCCACGAGGAGGCTTATGTTCAGGAGTAGACTTCATAGGCTACAATGACTGAATGAATGAATAATTGAATACTGATGCTACACATTTGATATTGATTTACATACATGGGCATTTGTAGGACTTCTAAACGAAAATGTGAGTGTTGGCTGTAGTCTATACACATTTAATACATCAAAAAAAAACACAAAAAATAAAACAATATAAGCACATTATTTTTTTTGCTGTAACCTATGATACTAAAAAGGTTAAGAAGAATATTTGATATTTCGCACTTTAAACTCCGCAAGTAATTCTGCTACAGAAGATCAAGGAACACACAAACAAACAAATGTACATACACAAGTATGATTATGTGTTATTTGATTGAGTTGAGTGCGAGTAGACGACAATCATGATGACGACGACTTAGAAAATTGTGGACACATCCATGCTAACACGTGCCAATCTACCTTGTGAAATCACCCACCGTCGCTTTAGGACTGTCCGTTTATTACTCGTACATGATTTGAACACCTTTATAGTTGTATAAGGTACGTGAGGGTAATATGGTCACCTTAAGCTTTGCCGCCCTATAAAACCAAAACTAGGAGGAGGACAGAGATAAATACACAATGTCGTATACTATAACTAATATATTAAGAAAAAAATATAGCAAACAAGCTTTGGAAATAATTAAAAACACTTCGAAAAATCTACATAAAAAACTAACTACACTACACAATACAAAAATTACCCTCACGTACTTATTATAATATCAACTGTCAAAATGGCGTCGATAAAGCGGCGGCCTTTTGACCCTTTATTATTTGATTGACTGATGAAGAGCTATCGTATCACAAAGCCATCTATGCAAATTTGGCTGTAGTTTTTGAGTTATAAGAAGGTGACCATATTAACCGGATGACCATGTGACCCTCATGTACTCTACTAGGTGTCACCTACGTTAGGTGCCAAATAGTAATATCTGCACAGCTGTATTCCGGTCTGAAGGGTATATAGGTACATTATAATGACAGGCCGTGAGACATTCCATCTTAGTCCTCAGAGGTGAGAACGCAACTGTAACCTTCTTTGTTTGAAGTTCGCTGCACGTGTCCGTAGGCTGTAGCCTACTAGCCATCGTACATTTACTATCAGGTGGACTGTAACCACTTCAGTTATATAAAAAATACTATCGCAGGACAAAATAAATCATACTTGTCAATCAAATGTCAGAGTATCTATTGAATACAAAATATGTAAAATAGTACCATTAAGTGTTTACCCATTTTAAAATAGTACTTTATAATAGTAACACAATCAGGTGGGCTATGTGTTCGTTTGTCACCCTTATTTTACATAAAAAATAGATATTCTGATCACTTGACCACGCATCACTAGTCTATTGGTATTATATTTTACCCACCTGATGTTAGCGGTAGGTTTAAGTGGACGTAACGCGTGCAGTCTCCTTATCCCGCTCCCTCCGCCGCTCATACCTGAAACAAATGTTACCATTTATTTCAACAATATTTTTTAATAAGTTGTCGTTTAGTTTTTTAATCGAATTATGGATATCCCCAAATTCACAATTCGTATAGCTGAAGGTCATTGGCATACAAATGGTATGAGTAATCGAAGATGGATGTAATAAATTTTATAAAAATTGTAAAAAAAATATAGGAGAAAGAATAACGCCTTGCGGCACATCAGCTTCCACATCAGCCCAATCTGAGGTCATTAGCCCCACACAGACTCACTGCTGTCGACCGCGAAGATAAGATGCAAACCATTCCAATGCAGTAGGGCCAAAACTCAGATGAGACAGTATGGAAAGGAGGATTTCATGATCAACTATGTTGAAAGCATTTGAGAAATCAACTAGTACCAGTACTGTTACTTTTTTTTCTTTCATACCTTGTCTAATTTATCATCTGTGACGTTAATTAAAACAGTAGAGGTATTATGACCAGGGCGAAACCCAGACTGATATATACTCTATAGACTGATATATCTAAAGTATATTTTTATCAACACACAATTCCACATCTGGGAATGATTCTCTCCCCGATAAATGAATAATTTCCTACAGTTATATTAATTTCTATTTAAATCATTCAAAATGTGGCTATTTTTAGATATGGTTCAAGCTCCAATGGGGATTTGTCTGTGTCTAGAATGAATGTCGCGAACTTTACAATACATATCCAATTCACTCTCGCTGGACAGATGAACAGAGGTAACTAATTAAACTTTGATATCAAGCAAATTACGCCACCGGTGTTGTCGAAGTAGCTATGTCTCAACTTAGAATTAGAATAAAGAATATAGTTTATACATAATACTCTATTGATTGTGTTTGATGCACCTTATAGAAGAAAATTATTGGATTATTTAAATTAATCTTAAATAAAAAATAATCTTAAACTAAACACATTTTGATACACACTTTAACATTTTTCTTTTTATCAAGAAACACATTTTGTTATGATTAAGTTTTACATTTTATTTGTTGTATACCTTCTATTTAAGTTATACTTATGTTAATCTGTTAATATGTACCTAATAAGGAAGAGCACTGTGATCTGAAATACAAATCTATTTCTAGTTCAAACACAGATGCTCCATCATTCATTGTGAACTCAGTATAGATCATAGAGTAGTTATTTATAAATGTGATAGTTATGCAAATGGTGAAAATAAAGTATTCCTGTTATAAACAACTCTCCTTATTCACCAATATCAAATATTCGGAATAAATATCTTTAAAAAATAATAAAGAAAAATGCTTTCCTCTCTACTTGTTTCAACTTTGGTGCCTGAGTATTGTTAATAGTTTAAAAGTAAGTTAGCGACGGAGCCATAGATCCGCCACTGGGGCCAGGTAGACTAGTGCATGCAGGTGCTCGTTCTTACCTGGTCCATCGCGTCCATGGTGCTACCACATTTGTCGTCACTAACCCACCTTGAGAAGCCTAGTGAATACGGCAATATTACCTAATATGTGGAATGCCTAAATGGATGAGTAAAGTTCTATATCAAAATAAATCCAACGTTTATGTATTACTAGCGACCCGCCCCGGTTTCGTACGGGTGATTTCTGGATCTCGACAACAGCGCCACCTACCGTGTCTAAATGTGAATCAAAACCATCTAGGGACCCATTCAAACTCATACAAAAAATTTCATGAAAATCGGTCAAAACCGTTTTTGAGTTTAAGCGAGACTAACGGACAGTAATTGTTTTATATATATGTAGATATATGTTATAATAGTTACAGCCTCTATACATCCCACGGTGCGATGGTTTTAGGGTAAGCAATTGTTCGCCCCGCTGCCCCAATGCGTGTTGGCGGACGCGGAATATGTATGTAAGATATCTGACGGCGTTCGACCTTTCTACGCTTATACTATTTAATATTTATATTTATAGGATTTTAGTCTACCTCATTACTGAGCAAAGTCACGACACTAACATAATATCTGTTTTTAAGAACTAACAAAACAAACTTTTCATCAGTCGTTAACAACAAAAACAACGACCAGGAAGATGTTTTATAAGGAAACAAAAATCAAGGTGAACTCTACGTTTTCATAATACGTATAACTTTTCTTATCCTAATCTTTTTTACGTATTCTTTTTTTAACTTGTTTTTTTTTATTAATTTACTAAGTCTATTTTCTGCCTAGAAGTTCCTGTGTGCTCGTTTGTCATCGTTATTTTGTAAACAAAACAGCTTCATTTTTTTGTCGTTTGTTTAATGTCAATTCTTTGCCGATCAAATTGACTTAACGATATTGCTTTATATTCAAACAAACAACATAATAAAAGTCCCATAAAATATAATTGATATGTGACTTGGAAAAAATAAACACACAACAGGTAGTTACTTTCATGAAGTCATTAATGATAACTTATTACAAAAATATGAGTATACTTCAGACCGAATTGCGGTTACGGCGGCCATTCTCAAAGGACACTGGCTATCTGCGCAGCACGGGATTATGGTGCCCAAGTGCATGTGCAAGCACAGATGCACACGCGTGCTCCCTTCCCTTACTCGCATAGTCCGATGGGACGTTAATCTGACATGGCCGGAGAGTGGTCGGACGCAGCTTTACGTGCGTTCCGAGGGGTGGAGGCGAAACAACACCAACTTCCGGACTTCAGAGGCTACTGAGTATTTCTTTACAGAAAACCTTATACAATGTCCCGTGTTTATATATGTTTAGGACATGACCAGATTAACCAGAACCTTCTATTTGTTATGGACAACATGAACAGCAGTCGCGCCTACGACCACTGGACTAACTAAAGAGAGAAATATTTGTCGTGTAAGTTAATAATAATTACTTTAATTTATGTATTATTTATTATTTCCTTTAATATATTTAGCATATAGAATATAATAATAAAAATAGAATGATATATTGAGAATACTCTATAAATACCCCAAAAATTATAATAATAAATAATGCGTTTATTTCGGTAATCTTGTAAACAACATATTGCAGAGACTTCCCAGTGAGTAATCAGAGGATACTAGTGTTGAAAATGACCCGCTACTTCCTTTAGGGATGACAGTAAAATTACAATAAGTCTAATATACCTCTCAAAAACCACTAATAAAAGTTGTAAATAGTATGTGTATGTATATGAAGGAGTGTGTGAATGTGAGTGTAGAGGTGTTGATGTGTGTAATTGTACGTGGTAGAGCCATGCTGCAGCTATATTAGTAGTATAGTTGTAGCACGAATGGGTCGGCTTGACCGGGAAAGGACGACGCTCTCACAGAATACCAGCTTAAAATGGCAGCTTGACACTTGAAGTGTTTCGTATGGTGAGTGTAGAGAACTGGAGACCCATTTAACTGGAAAAGAGGCATTCCATCTTAGTCCTCACGGGATGTGTGTGTGTGTGTGTGTGTGTGTGTGTGTGTGTGTGTGTGTGTGTGTGTGTGTGTGTGTGTATATATATAAAAGCAGACTGAAATGGGTACTCTCTAATAGCAAAGACAGTACGTACAAGAGTTGTAGGGGCTACAATATCAGTTGTTCTCTTTTTTTGGAGGGAGTTATTAAACGCTAGGGATTTATGGCATTTTAGAATAAGAATAAGGTTAAAAACATAAAGTTGTCCCTAATAATTATGGATTTCAAGGACAAAGGCAGAAGGAACAATTTCTGTCTAATAACAAACACGGCGATACAAGTGTCAGAAGTCAGTACTCAGTACCTACTTACTCGTACGGTTTCCGAAGGAAAAATCACAATTAATGGATGACGTGCATTGAGAACGATGACCTATAGAGCTTAGTGTTCACTCACTGGCTCATTGTCATTGTCAAATAACAAATAAACGATGCAAATAATGTGTGTCACACTTAAGAGCATTTATATTGCTTTTTATACTCTAAGGCGTCACATTTTTAAATAGAATTTCTACATACATTATACATATTATATATATTGAATAGGAGCTGTTCCCCACAACTTCACCTGCATGGAATTTATTACGATTGGATTTCAAGGGTTTTAATTTTTCTGCGCGGAACCCGAATTCATTTTTTAAAAATAAAAGTAGTCTAAGTTACTCCCTATAACATCAGCTATCTGCCAGTGAAAGTCCCTTCAAAATCTGTCCAGCTATTTTGGAGATTAGCAGGTATAAACAGACAGACTGCCAAAAATAAAAAAAAAGTTTTTTTGTTATAAGTACCGTATATACTTTCATATGCATGTAGTAGAAAAGCTGTTATTTTGACATTACAAACGGACACTTCAATTTTATTTATCTGTATATTTCTATGAATATACAGGGTTATTTTTCAAAGAGTAGCAAAATTTTAAACTTAAGTTCAAATATATAAATAATGATATACCGTTATTGCAGTTTTTGAAAATACGAGTAAATAAGGCTTCTGCTTAAAATTTGAAATTATCCCAAATTGAGTGTGATTTATGGGCAACAACGTTTTTGAGTTTAAAAGGTAAAAAGGACAGAATGTTTGAGATTTTTTAAATTAATTTTTCTTCGCCTATAATACTTATTCTGAACCTTCTCTGCAAATGGCTGGTTATTAATAAAATAACACTGTATATTCGTACAATATATTCGAAGTGTACATAATAGTAGTTAGTATATAATATTTAATTGTGATATAGATATTTCCACAGTATTCGTATGTATTTTTTGAATTAAATACATAATATAAATAAATAATAACGGATCTTTTAAATTAATAAAACCATAAAAAAGTTGTGTTATCACAATGCTATCTTGAAATTAGTAACAAACGTTAAAAATCTATTTGTTTATATGTCATGAAATTTGTTTGGTTAGGATTATAACAGATAATAAATATAATTATGTATTTTATTTCATGGATGTAAAACTAAAAAAAAATATGCTTCATCGCAACATTTTAAATGGCTCTAAATCTAAAATTAATTGTTATACCTGTGTAGAGCCACGCTGCAGCTATTACAGTTGTAGCATGAATGGTTGGGCTTGACCGGTGTAGGACTACGCTCTCACAGAACACCAGCGTAAAATAGCAGCTTATTTCGTATGGTGAATGTAGAGAACTGGAGACCCTTTTTACTGGAAACGAGGCATTCCATCTTAGTCCTCGGGCTGACAACGCATCTGCATTTTGATTCTTAATCGAGGATAAATGTAGATGTCTATGAGCCACAGTATCCACTTACTATCAGGTGAACTGTGTGCTTGTTTGTCTCCTATATTCTATAAAAAAATCTATAGTTAGATCACTCGTACCTCCGAGTATAACGTTCTAAGGTTCGGGTCTTACCACAGCCTTGGACCACGATAGTCGAAGGTAGTCCAGTGTTGTAGTTGAACTCGGACCGCATCGGTATCTTCAAAAGCCACATGTTAAACAAATCTAACTAGGTATACTACGTGATATCTCGAAATTAAGCCATGTAATGTAATCGAACAGAATATCCTTTAGGAGTCACACGAATATGGACTCCATTTGGCATGATCCTGACACACCTCTCTGGCCTTTTTCACACCCATACATACTTGTCGGTATTTTTAATAGAATAAGGGTGACAAAGATAGCATAGATTTCTACATTTACGCTCGATTCAGATCAATATGCAGATGCGTTGTCACCCCGAGGACTAAGATGGAACGGCTCGAATCCATTAAAAGGGGTCAGTTAACTAAACCTTTTTACTGGATACGAGTGCCTTTAAGGGTACTCTTAATTTGACCCATCTTCTATATATTGCCTAATTGGTCGATTATTTTTTGTTTTGATTTATTTATTTATTCTTTATTGCAACAAACCTTCACCGAGGGGTTACAAAGGGCGGGCTCAATACTCTATGGCATTCTCTAGTAGTATTACAGTTGTTTATCACAGCTACATCATGTACCCCTAGCCTTAATGTCATCATTGGATCCGACGCCGCAAGCGTGTAAATTAGCTTCGTTTAAGGTCATCATACACGCGAACTTCAATAAAAGGGAAGCGGGAAAACACAGACGAAACTCAACTCACAGGTCTTCATATAGATGACATTATTATTAAAGTTTCCTTTAACTTGTACAGGAAGTGTTGCAAGGACGCCATATTGCATTTGTCAAGCGTGACTATGAAGTAAGTTAGTCTGTGTTTTATTTAGGAAGTGTGTATGCCATACGATAATAATCGAACGATTATTATTTTTTTATGTAAACGATTATCGTATGATTAACGATAGTCTTTTATTTACGTGTTGAGTGTGATTTCACTTGTTTTCTTTATTAGTATATATACTATCATGTATTATAGTAAGGGGAACTCGCGGCCATTTCTTTTTTCGTTGCCTCATGGAGCGAAACGAAGAGGCAAGTGATTTGTATCAAAGTGTGTCAGGATCGTGCCAAATGAAAGTCCGTTGTCTCCGTCTGTCTCTTTCTGGGCGTGAGTGCTTATGTATGTGTGGATAATAAATTAAAATAACGTGTAAAGTATTTGCTTTTATATTCCGTGGTATTCGCAGCGGTCTTTTTGATATTCTTTATCAGCTCGTAAAGGTCTAGTGCTAGACATGGGGCTCTCCTGTTGAAGGAAGGTTTCACCCTAATTGCAGTCCGGCTATTTTATTACGTTGAGCGTAAACGTGATAATTATACAGTCATCCGTCAGAGCTCATAAGATTTTTTGGAATACATAGTCGTTACGACACCCATGGGACGAAATGCGGTATAACACATTCAAATAGGAGTAGTGGTAATGCTCTCGCAGTGAATTTTACAATACGCAGCAACCTGGGCTCGATCCTAGGGCTGGGCAAGGGAAAATTCGATATATATCGAATCGATATTTTAAACAGTATAGTCATCATTTGTATGATGTTAGAATAAGGCCCAAAATTTTATATAACTGACGGTTGGACGACGAAAAAAACAATAACCAGGTATGAACGCTTTGGTAGCTCCTTTTGTTGTTTCATGTTTTGTCTATTAATACAACATTTTAAAATATGTCAAAATTGATACGAATTCGATACTCTAAAATAAATATCTATATATCGCGATTAAAATATCGACGATATTTTTATGAAAAAAAAAATCGACATTTCCATACATCGATATTTTTTGCCCAAGCCTACTCGATCCCCTTCGCTACCACTGAAATTGTTAATTACAATTTTAATTGATGATTTGCTAAGTAATAAAATATTTTAAAATCACGTGATGTCCGAAACACTTACTAGGGCAGCGCCTCAGACCAATTGATCCATTACCCTTTCAGAAATTAGCCCAGCAGTGAGACGTATCAAAGCTAACTTTTTGGAACGAAGTTTCATTATCGCACGGTACGAATTTGACGGATGGGGTCTAGCCGAGAGAAAGTGTAAGGTTTATCCGTCACGACCCCCTTTCTATAGTGCGAACGCGACGAAATAATATCCATCTCTCTCGCACTTTTTTTATAGGATTGGGTGATAAACGAGCACACAGTCCACCTGATGGTAAGTGGTTGCTGTGACCCATAGACGTCCACATTTATCCTCAATAAAGAATTAAAATGCAGATGCGTTATCACCCATGAGGACTTTTTTTTATAGGATCGGGTGACAAACGAGCACACAGTCCACCTGATGGTAAGTGGTTACTGTGACCCATAGACATCTACATCTATCCTCAATAAAGACTCAAGATGCAGATGCGTTGTCACCCGTGAGGACTAAGATGGAATGCCTTTTTCCAGTAAAATGGGTCTCCGGTTCTCTACACTTACCATACGAAACACAGCAGCGTTAAGCTGCTATTTTACGCTGGTTTTCTGTGAGAGCGTGGTCCTTCCCCGGTCGAGCCGACCCATTCGTCCTACAACTATACTACTAATATAGCTGCAACATGGCTCTACCATGTGCTAAAAACACTTTTACTTATCTTGCCATGAAAGAAATATTATCTTAAATTACGCTTCATTTTAATAGACACTAGTAATTAATTTATTTGTATATGTTAATCAATAATATATAATACGTTTATCAATAATAATATACTACGAAAGGAACTTCGTTCCAACTGAGTGTTTCACGACACTTATGCATTTTTTAATTTTATGCACATTCAAATGACCCATCGGGTTACAACCAATGTGTTGCCATGTCATTAAAATAAATGAACTGCATTTAAATCAAACGTGATCCGCAAATACCTATAATATCGGGATGAGAATTACCCCAGAGCATTCAGAGTTTGATGAGCTACAATAATAAAATCCCACAAATACGAGTTGTTAAAATAACTCCTGCATTCCAATTCGAGAAATTGTAGGGAAATGATTTTGTAAATAAATTAACTTCCGGGTTATTTATAAATTCGATCGAGAGCTCTACGTCCTTAGCCAGTTCTTTCTTTAAACTGATACCTATAAATATATATTATAATATTATTATGATTTTCTCAGGGATGAAACCTCTCGAGATAAACTAACGGAAAGTCAAAAAAATTTAAATACAGAATTGCATCGAAATCCGTAGTTGTTTCCGAGAAATCAATTATATAGCCGGCGTGGCATCAGAGGCGGTATAGCTGATAAGTGGTGCAAGTCTCTGATAGACTGAGAGAGGACTACGTAGTCTTTGTACCATTTGCTGTATAGACTATCGGTCCGTGAGGTTCATCTGCGGTGAAGTTCTTAAGGAATTGTATCTTCCTATTTTTCTTGGCGAACCGATTTCATGTTTTTTTATAGGATAAGGGAGACAAACGAGTACACAGTCCACCTGATGGTAAGAAGTTGCTGTGGCCAATAGATATCTACATCTATCTTTTATTACGAATCCAAATGCAGATATGTTGTCACCCGTGAGGACTAAGATGGAATGCCTCGTTTCCAGTAAAAAGGGTATCCGGTTCTCTACACTCACCATACGAAACACAGCAGTGTTGAGCTGCTATTTTACGCTGGTATTCTGTGAGAGCGTGGTCCTTCCCCGGTCGAGCCGACCCATTCATGCTACAACCATAATTATAGCTGCAGCATGGCTCTACTACGTTAAAAAGATTAGAAATGATGAAACACAAATTATCGCTATTTTTTTTAAATAACACATTATTGCTTAACAATATATTATATGCTATATTTAAATATATTAGTTTAAATGTCATAGAATGTACTACTCACTGGTAGAAGGCGCCTGGAGAACGTGCGGAGGTTCATGGAATAGATTCGTCCGCTGCTGAGGCGACAGCGACGCCAGAGCTTCTAAATTGTCCCGCAAGGAGTCGAAGAATGAACCCATATCGTTCAGCACACCTAGGAATAAAGTTTGTGATTTATTTTACGCTAGAATAGAGCTCCTATCATCAGTAGTTAATATTACAGGACACGTGGTAGAGCCATGCTGCAGCTATATTACTGGTATAGTTGTAGCACGAATGGGTCGGCTCGACCGGGGAAGGACCACGCTCAAACAGATACCAGCGTAAAATAGCAGCTTAATGCTGCTGTGTTTCGTATGGTGAGTGTAGAGAACGGGAGACCCTTTTTACTGGAAATGTCATATACATCTTAGTCCTCACGGCTGACAACGCATCTGCATTTTAATTCGCAAACAAAGATAGATGTAGATGTCAATGGGCCACAGCAACCACTTACCATCAGGTGGACTGTGTGCTCGTTTGTCACCCTTATTCTATAAAAAAAATAACTCCCAAGAATTTACTTGTTATAAATCGTCATCCTAAGTCACCTCTGAATCTATACAAATCTTCATTATATTTAGAAGGGTTCATCCTATCCCGCAATACGGCGACCAAGCCTAGCAACTATGGCAAACATCCATGATATTATAAGTCAATCTATGTGCAGGTCTATGCTCAGCAAGTGTATTTGATCCATTCATTCATCCAGAATTCATCATTTATAGAAAAATAGTAATAAACCAGCAGACAGTCCACCTGATAATAAGTGGATGCTGTGGCCCATAGACATCTACATCTATCCTCAATTAAGAATGCAGATGCGTTAAAACTGCGGACTAAGACGGAATGCCTCGTTTCCAGGAAACATAGGTTACCAGTCTCCGATTCTCTACAGTCACCATGCGAAACGCAGCAGCATTGAGTTGCTGTTTTACGCTGGTATTCTGTGAGAGCGTGGTCCTTCCCCGGTCGAGTCGACACATTCATGCTACAACCATAATATAGCTGCAACATTGCTCTACCACGTTAAAAATATAGAGGGGATAAAGTTATGCACACACACTAAGCCACTAGCGGCATTGCTTACCGACGCCGACATACGGCGTGACTGCCTTACCGAGCGCTGGCGTCGGCCGCCTTCTACGCCGACCGGCGTTCAGAGCCGTCGCCACTGCCGACCGCTTCCCAGTATCCAAACTGCGAGAAAAATAAAACAAATTATGAATGTGTCGGAAATACATCAGGAGGTTAATTGTTAGAAATAATAATAGTGTGAGAGCGGTTGTTCAACTTGCTCTCTTGCTTACGCAATTAATCATTATCATTTATCAGAAATTAAACAGTGTACTGCCTGTGGTGCTGCACTATACATTCAGTATAGAGCAATTATAGTTCGATCATACCGATAATATGTCCCCGTCACAATCACACAGTACTTTAACGTGAGAGATGTAATTATATGATACACACTTATTCTTACAATATTTATTTCAAACTATTAATATACTAATTGTAAAAATTGACTGGTTTCGCCTCACGGCATCATCAGGGTATATAGCCCTTGGACCGTAATACCCTTTGCGGGTACTTGACAGCACAGGTCTCCGGCGGTGCGATTTATTGACGAATACTTGTGAATAACCTTAATTTTACATAAATTTACTTAACTTTATTAAGGAGGCAATATAAAAAACATTAAATAAATATACGGCTCCGTGGCGCAGTGGCTCAGCAATGAGTTGTTGCGTTGGAGGCCGCGGGTTCGAATCTCGCACGGAACAAGTATTTATATGGCCTACAAATATTTGTTTCGGGTCTGGACGTTTGTCCTCGTGCAATTTATGTTTGTAAACTGCCTCCACGATATAGGAGAAAATCCTAGTGTGGTGGTAACGTTTTTTTAAAAAACAATAAAAGTATATATACTTAAGTTACCTTAACTCGCCATTATCGTAGCTAGTTGAAATATCTTCGTCGGTGTCTTGGGTAATTTTGGGATCCGTCTGGTCAGGGTCTGTTTCAAGCCCCGGGTCCGTGCGCTGCGGTCGAATCCAGCGGTTGTGAGGGCTCAAAGCGAACCACGGATTATTTGCCGACATGCGAATTAGATCTAAACTCTGGACCCTGTCGTCTTGGTTCTGGGCTTCAGCGATGGTTATTGCTGAAACAAAAAAAAAACAGTTTGTTTATGCTAAACTTTACATTTGTTTATGCTACATTTTTTTACGTGGTAGAGCCATGCTGTAGCTATAGGGTGACGACGCATCTGTCTATTGATTCTTAATTGAAGATAAATGTAGATATCTATGAACCCCAGCGTCCACTTACCGTCAGGTAGACTATGTGCTCGTTATTCTATAAAAAAAATACATTCTGCCATCCACATATTCCATTCAATTGATTCTAGCAAAGTGAAGCCAGTTCGCCTGATCTGCGGTAAATCCTAACTAGTTTGGGACACAGCCATGTCCACTACCTTTTTTCTTAAACGTTACCCCCACACTAGGATTTTTTCCTGTATCGTGGAGGCAGTTTACAAACATAATTGCACAAGGACAAACATCCAGATCCAGAAAAATTATTTGTAGGCCATACAAATACTTGTTCCGTGCGGGATTCGAGCCCGCGGCCCCCAGCGCTGCAACTCATTGCTAAGCCACTGCGCCACGGAGCTGTGTAATTTATTACACATATGAATTTGAATTCACTGTCTAGGGCTTCATCACCACTTACACTAGAACTTGTAATCAAACTGGCTTATAATAGTTAATTGTTTTAACAGTGGTAGAACCACGCGGCAGCTTTTGCTGTTGCACGGATGGGCCGGCTCGAACCAGGGTAGTACCACGACCTCACAGAAAACCAGCGTGAAGTAGAGGTTTACCTCTGCGTTTCGCTTGGTGAGTGCAGGTGGCCGGAGGCCCATTTTACTGGAAATGAGGCATTCCATCTTAGTCCTCACGGGTGACAACGCATCTACATTTTGATTTGTAACAGAGAATAGATGTAGATGTCTATGGGCCGCAGCAAGCACTTACCATCAGGTGGACTGTGTGCTCGTTTGTCACCCTTATCTTATAAAAAAAAATTTAATTTGAAAATTTTACAAGCCCCTGAAAAGAAGCCCACCGCAGCTTACAAAACAGCCGATGACCTTGAAACGGCTCAACCAATTTTGATAAAACATGTCTAAAAACCACCGCTAGGAAACCTGTTTTTAAATAAAAAAAACCGCAACCAAATCGGTTCACCCGTTTAAGAGCTACGGAGGGGTGCCACAGACAGACACACACACATAGCGGTCAAATATTTATATAACACCCCCCTTTTTTCGGTGGGTGTTAAAAAAGTACAAATATTGAAAATAACTAAGCAAGTATTTTTTTTAAATAAAGTCGCTTAGTTTTCCTACTATTAAAAGAAGACTAAATCTAAACGCCCTAAAGCGGAGGAGTCAGCTTTCCTCTTTAATTCAAATGGATATCGCTTGACGGCTTTACGATCCTCGTGAATGCCTCGCTCTTTAGCTTTGTACGGTACTTTGCTGTGTAATGCGTCAATGAAAATAGACTGCTTGAAGTACTAGAACACTATTTTCTTTGTAAAGGTTATATACTATAACTATCCACACATCCATATCACTATTAATTTACTTACAACCTACAAAAGTCCACTACTGAACATATGCCTCCCCTGTTGATTACTTCATAGGAGGGATTTTGCCATAGTTGCCAAACTTAGCAGGTATGTTGGCAACCGCAGGTTTTTATTATTTTGAGTAGTTATCAGGAAGATGCAGCTACCAATCCCCTGTTTCACTCCCCTTTATCGCTTTACACGACGCCCACGGGATGATATGGGGTAATAGATATTCTTACGCTGCCTCTACGGTTTTTTCATCATTAGCCCGTTAAAGTCCATAGTTGGACTTTTGGGGCTTCTCCTGTTGTGGATTATTGGTGGAGTAGTAGAGGATTGGTCTTAGGAAAACACAGGGAAAAATTATGAATCAAATTGTGACCGGGTATAAAATATGGGTTCATCACTATGACCGGAATCAAAAACAGACATCCATGGAAGGGCATAAAAAGGCGCTGAATCGCTTAGGAAGTTCAATGTATCACAGTCGACTGGAAAGAATATGGCCTCAATTTTTTCGGTTTCATATGGAATTTTATTGATCGATATAATTCGCTTATGTTACTTATTCTGAACGTTCTCAAAAATAACCATGTATATAAGGCAATCTATGTTTTGTTTGACTTGTATAGATTCTAATGTATGTATAAAGAAAAGAGATGTTTTGTTTATGTAAAGTCCGACTACGAATCGATACTTCGACCACTAAGTCGCAAGAACATCATAAATATATACAATCGAAAATACTTCTGTGTAATAAACAAAAACAAGCAACACGTGCTTTGTTATAACCAACAGGTGACGTAACAGCATGGAAACAACGGTTTTCTCTAGTGTTTTATTTTTACACGTGTCGCTTATTCGCGAGAAGATTAATGGCGGTTGTATTGTATCTGTAGACAATAGGGTGAAAGAGTGAACTCCGGTGAGTGAGTATATGTACACGACCCAGAGCAGCATCAGCATATAAAACTAGTTTTATTTTCTTCTTGTACTAGCAGGTGACTAAAAGGCAAGAGAAAGAGAGAACAGGACTTCAGTTACGCTAAGAAATCGCGATCTACCATCAAGCGTTCACCACCAATTGCCATTAATATACTAGTGTACAACTGTCAAAACAATTATTAGAAATGATTTTTATAGCAGCTTAATGCTGCTGTGTTTCGTATGGTGAGTGCAGAGAACCGGAGACGCTATTTACTGGAAAAGAGGCTTTCCATCTTAGTCCTCACGGGTGACAACGCATCTGCATTTTGATTCGCAATCGAGGATAGATGTAGATGTCTATGGGTCACAGCAACCACTTACCATCAGGTGGACTGTGTGCTCGTTTGTCACCCTATCCTATAAAAAAAAAATTATTTTTATTTTTGTCAAAGTAAGCTTTTACTTTATACCTATTATAAGTTTAATTTAATCATACATTTATCTGCTATCTGATTTATCGAGTTTTGTTCCCGGCATCTTAATAAAGTATTATTTTAATTAAAACACAATAGTCTTTTCAATGTTAAAGTATAAATTAACATTTTGTGTTCAAATTAAACTGAAAAAGCTATATTCGGAGCTTTTCCGTTCCATTTAAATGTTATTGCAAGTTGTGAGTAAAATAAACGACGGTTAATTAATATAATGTATTTAAGAAATAAATTTGGCAGCACACAATAGTCAAAGAAGATATCATCCAGAAAAATAATAACACGTATAAAAAATATACTCAAATGCTGTTCATTTTTAAAATGCCGTTAAGTCTCGTGCTGTCTCTATCACTTTAAGTTCAAGTGACTGTGACACAACGAGACTTAACGACATCTTAAAATTGAGTAACGTTCAAGTATTTGGCCATAACAGTCATAAAAGTTATAGCTTCGCAACTAGATGCCCGACTACGCGAAGAAAATTCCAGTTCCGTACACAGAGCACACCGCAAAAATTCGTCTACTCATCGTTCTCCACTTGAGCAATAGACTTTATATCGTTTAAATATATTATGTTGCTAAGACATATTTCTTAAGGAGGGTTTTTCCTGGAAGGTTGTCAATGGGAGATGTGTGTGTGGTTTCTAGATGGTTAATAAAAGTGTATTTGAATAAACAAATCTGTAAAGATTTTATCGCGATTCATTTTAATTTTTTCTTAATAGCCGTCGTTTCGGTCGCGTTGCGGCATTCATGGTCAAGGTGAGATTAAAGTGTTTGTTGTCCTAATGCCATAGTAAACGAACATTTTAATGTTTACAGTCTATATACGTCCTACTGCTGGGCACAGGCCTCCCCTCATTTTTGAGGGGGGTTTAGGGCAAGGAAATGTCCGCCGCGATGCCCCAATGCGTGTTGGCGAACTTCACATGTCTGTCTTTTTTTTATTTCTCAGACATGCAGGTTTCCTTACGATGTTTTCCTTCACCGCCGAACACGTGGTAAATTAGCACTTAAAATTGCAATTAACAATTTCATTGGTGCCGGCGGGGATCGAACCCGGGTTTCCGCGTACTGTGAAATTTTCAGCGAGCGCTAACCATCTAAGCTACCACAGCCACTATTTTATTGTTTAATGTATAATAATGTGTTTATACTGTGGGTACATTGCTTCCCAGGTTGAGCCGTACAACCTGGGAACACAGATTACCTCATAAGGGGGTAATCTGTGCCTGGGAAGCAATATTCCCACAGTATAAACACACACATTAGTGCTACAACTAAAATATAACTGCAGCGTGGCTCCATTACGTATACATAAATACAAAGTACAAACTCATCAACTTCGAACAGAACAGATAAAATGAAATAGATCGCGTTCTCTGCTTTCGTAAGGTAAAACCGTTTTATACCAAGTTCTCAGTATAACTGAATCCGATCCTTTATTTCACGACCGACGTATTGAATATCAAACCCTAATATATTAGATCAGTTGAGACGATATAACCCCAAAGTTCGGATTAGTTAAATATAAAGGGGAAAAATATGGACAACAGGTCAGCGATGTATGCATTTTGTGTGTTTGTTTAGGGCAGGAATGCTAAGTTAGGCGCGCCTATTAAACTTGACATAGCGGATTTTAAAGTAATACTTATTTGTAAGTTGCTTGCTATGTAAAAGGGGCTTTGCTCTTCCGGGTCAGAAGGAAGTAAAGATTTAAGGTAGTACAATAATACATTTTTTCTTTTAAAAAAATGTTACCGCGACACTAGAATTTTCTCCTGTATTGTGGAGGCAGTTTACATACATTAATTTCACAAGAATAAACATCCAGACCTGGAACAGTTATTTGTAAGTCAGACAAACACTTGTTCCGTGCGGGATTCGAATCCGTTCGGCCTCATAGGGCTAAACCAAGGCACAAAGGAGCCATCAAATTAGACTAGACCATTGACGGAGCGTAACCTCAAATATGCAAGACATCTGGTATTGTGATCGACAATTTACCTGCAGAGTATTTGCCAAATAATCGTCATATACACACAACAAGCCGTGGCAAAGTTTATTTAGGATAAAAATAAAAAGGAATTAGTCAAATGTGTTCGCAACATTCTTTTATAAATAAATAACCTTTTCATTTGACATAAGTTTCACACCGTGTCAATTTGGAGTCTTTGCATGAAGCAGTTTAGTGTCAACTTTATGATTTTTACTTTATGAATTTCTATCTGCACACAACCCTTGTCCGTATTTTAAATTTTTAATAAAATGTTTAGGTGTAATACTTTTAAATATACAGAGTACATACACAAGTAAATATACATAGGTTCAAAAAAGTTAAAATGTATTAAAGATAATGTCACTTAAAGCTACCTGTTGAGTATAAATTAGAGATGCGATGACTCTGTGGACAAAGCTTCGTTTGCGCTACAGAATCCTTTAATATTATTATTTTATTTAAATTTTGAAATAAATATTTTCCGTACTGCGTCTGGCGACATTTCGAAATATAACAGATATTACGAATCACAGATATCGATATTGAAAACAAATGTTTAGACCAAAATAAAAAAATTATTATATAAAGATGTGAAGTGGCGGTGTAAGAATATCCACTCCCCCATATCGTCTCGTTGGTGTCGTGAGAAGCGACAGAAGGAAAAGAAAAGTGGAGATGCGCAGCAGCATTTTGGCGTGATCAGCAGAGCGGGACACCTCCTGCAACTTTACAAAGCGCAGGTTCATTCTCACATAGAATACTGTTCCCATCTCTGGGCAGGGGCTCCCCAGTGCCAGCTCCTTCCAGCGCAGAGGGGTTCGAATTGTCGACGACCGAGTTCTTTCCGATCGGTTTCACTCACTGGCACTGCGTAGAGATGTTGCATCTCTTTGCGTATTTTACCGCATCTATCACGGGGAGTGCTCCGCGGAATTGTTCGGACTAATTCCAGCCGCTTAATTTCACCATCGCACATTGCGACAAAACTCGCGATACCAGTGCGATTTAGAATAAGTTTTCTTCCTCGCACAAATTCCTTATGGAATCGATTACCACCAGCGATTTTTCCGGATCGATACCACTTAGAGATCTTCAAGAAAAGAGCCTACTCCTTTTTAAAAGGCTGGTAACGCACCTACGATTCCCCTAGTGGTGCAGTTGTTCATGGGCAACGGTCAATTACTATCAGGTGAGCCGCATGCTCGTTTTCCCCCTCTCCTATAAAAAAAACCTACGCGCCTGCCAAACGTGGCTACAATGGCAAAATCGCATCTATGAGGCAATCGATGGAGGGGACCTGTGTTCAGCAGTGGAACTATTATAGCTGATGTAATGGATGGATGGATGAGTTGCTTTGCATTATTCAGATACTGTAATTTGGTAGATATTTTCAAAATGGTGTGCATTGTCAATACTTTATGTGATAAACATCACTACATTAATGACTTAGTAAAAGCAAGTTGCCATTAGCAATAACTTTAATTACAAAATGTATATCTGTTTATATAACCTAAGGACAAAATACACATGTATGCGGAAAAGAGAATATTAGGTATGTGATTCTGTAATCACATAGTGTTACCACCACATGTACTTAATTTAAAAATAGCAAACAATAAATAATTTTAATGTGGCAATTTATATTTGAGATTTTTTTATTTTTTTAACTTAATGTTATAAACATGAACGTTTGAGAGTAAATTTATTAAAAACCTTCCTATTCTAACCGTTAGTAATTATAGTTCGACTGCGAGTTTGTTGCTGCATCACAAAACACACTTACAATTTTCTAAACTAAGTTGGAACAATCCATATTAGGCAGAACAAAGTTAGTCAGCGATTAAACAAATTGCAAAATTGGTTGCTGCCTGTTGTTTGCACGCGACAAATATAACATTTATTTGGATGCCACTAGGGTAGAGGAAAGTATTCCGCAATACCGTGCGACTATAGAGTACCTACAATGGACCACGTGGCTACCACTAAGCATACTTGACTACTACGCTACGGGTTCCGGGTTTGTATCTCAGCTGAAGCCTCAACTACAGATTAGATAATAGTTACTACGTAACTTTAACATTAATCTACTCATATAAATAAAATTGAAGTGTCATCTTTAATATCAAATGAACTGCCTTTTATCTAGTTCTGCGGGTTATTATTTTTTTGTATAGGATAAGGGTAACAAACGAGTACACAATCCACCTGATGGTAAATGGTTGCTGTGGCCCATAGACATCTACATCTATCCTCGATTACGTATCAAAATGCAGATGTGTTGTCACCATTGAGGACTATGATGCAATGCCTCGTTTCCAGTGAAAATGGTATCCGGTTCTATCCACTCACCATACGAAACACAGTAGCGTTAAGCTGCTATTTGACGCTGGTATTCTGAGAGCGTGGTCCTTTCCCGGTCGAGGCGACCCATTCGTGCTACAACTATACTACTAATATAGCTTCAGCATGGCTCTACCACATAAAAATGCCTCTATTTGTATGCTATTAACACATGAATAACGTTTTCCAAAATGTTTGTCCGTCTTTCTGTCCGAGCTAATCTTCGGAATGTTTGAACCGATTTTTATTAAACTTCACGAACATATACAGAGAAATGCCACTAATGCCAGTAGTATCTAGGCCATAATTTGTTAGCAAATCTTGGAAATTTTTAATACGCTTTTATTAGCTTCGCGTGTATCTATCTATCTATCGATGAAATGGAATCTTTTAATTTTTCACCAAATTGTAGATGGCCGAGTTGAAAATTTACACTCATATCAAGGACCGATGACAATACAATAATTTAATCTTATCCCAGTATCCTGATCAGGATCACCAGTATAATTCTCTCTAGAATCATTACAGCTTATGATCAGTGCATGTTTTTTAAGTTTTCTTAAATTTTAATATTTACTTTTGTGAAATCAAAAAACTTATAAAATACAAGTGGTATAATTTAAAATTAAAATTTTGTACACTTGACTTCAATATAAGTTATTAAGAATAATTCATAAACTACTGGTCAGATCTTGATCAAATTTATATGCGACCACATGAGAAGCAACAGCTTTAAAATAAAAAAAAGAATCATCAAAATCGGTTCACCCGGAAAAATTCTGAGGTAACACACATAAAAAGATACAGTCGAATTGAGTACTTCCTCCTTTTTTTGAAGTCGGTTTAAATATAATCTGTCGTTTTCGGGTCTGAAGTGACACTGCCACCGAAACATTGTTCTTTTTTATTGGCCCATAAATGTCCACTCCATAAGGCTCTATCCCGTTGTTGTCTTTCACAGACGAGCATATCTACGTTTGCAATTCCGAAGGTCTCGCACCTTTGACGGTGCTGAATGTCGCCAGTCTAAATATTTTACGTATGGTGTAAACGAAATGGTTAGAAGCCATCCCTTTTTTGACATTTTCCAGTATTGTCTTTTACGATACCCATGGAACGAAATAGCGTGGTAAATGGTAATAATGGGTGGGGACTCTCTTTCGCCGCTACCACATGGGACCTACTTCCAAGATACCTTGGTACAGGGTTATTTTGTAATAACTGGCTGCATTTTCAGAGAAGGTTCAGAATTACGTGGTAGAGCCGTGCTGCAGCTATATTAGTAGTATAGTTGTAGCATGAATGGGTCGGCTCGACCGGGGAAGGACCACGCTCTCACAGGATACTAACGTAAAATATCAGCTTAACGCTGCTGTGTTTCGTATGGTGAGTGTAGAGAACCGGAGACCCTTTTTACTGGAAAAGAGGCATTCCATCTTCGTCCTCACGGGTGACAACGCATCTGTATTTTGATTTGTAATCGAGGATAGATGTAGATGTCTATGGGCCGCAGCAACCACTTACCATCAGGTGAACTGTGTGCTCGTTTGTCACCCTTATCCTATATAAAAAAAAGAATAAGTAATATAGGCAAATGGTAAAGAAAAATCAATTTAAAAAATCTCAATAATTTTGTCCATTTTATGTTTTAAATTCAAAATGCGTGGTAATGCACTATTTTAACTGACTTTACTGCACACGCACACACTCGTAAGGGTCGCTCGGTAGCCAAAAACGTTGTTGCCCATAAATCACATTCAATTTGGGATAATTTCAAATTTTAAGCAGAATCCTTATTTACTCGTATTTTCAAAAACTGTAATAACGGTATATCATTATTTATATATTTGAACTTAAGTTTAAAATTTGGCTACTCATTGAAAAAAACCCTTTATATTCATAAGCGTCACTTCGGATAGAACTAGATTACACCTGCGACACTATTAATATCTCGGGTAGCTTCCGATTTCTCGAAGTTATCTCCATGGTTTAAAAGTGACAGGGCACTATTATCAGTATAAAAACGAACCTGATGGCATGCAACATGGCATTCTTCTTTTACATATTACTACAATCCCACCCGATAAGTTGTGATAAATCCACTATAGATAATAAATCGCACTTTTTTAACACAACAAAGCCACATGTTCGATGATAAAAGTAAACAAAACCACGTGTTCAGGTTATGGAAAACGTAAGGGAAAGTGTCAACACGCACGAAACGCCTCGCTTGGCAGGCGGATTACCGATATTATAGGTCTTTGACCAGTTACCGGTTACCGGTTTTGATAATTAACATTAATTACATTCAAGACGGTTCACTGCCTTCACTCGGAAGACATGAGATGCTTCTTCTATCTTACCTATAATCGTCTACCGATGTCCACGATATGGAGTGTTATAGGCTTAGGTAAAATATATCAAAATATCGATATTTTCTCATAAATATATATATATATATATATATATATATATATATATATATATATATATATATATATATATATATATATCATCGATATTTATAATCGCGATATATCGATATTTATTTTAGAGTAATGAATTCGTATCAATTTCGAAATATTTTAAAATATTCTATTAAGTACCAAAAAATTAAGCTACAAAAGCATTCTAATGTACTGTTGTCGTTTGTTTTTCGTCGTCCAACCGTCAGTAATAAAGTTTTGCATCTTATCCTAGCACATCATGCAAAACATGACGATGTATCGATATTTATCACGCGTTATGTGTCGATATTGTTTAAAAATATCGATACAGTATATATCGATATTTTTTTACTTGCTCATCCTTAGAGTGTTAGTTTCTCTTTCGACAGAGCACGCACTTATTATTACATAATATATCGCGATCCACACCGACTTTGCACAAGTGATTTCAGGATCTCAACAAGAGCGCTACCTACCGGGTCCAATTGTGAATCTAAACCATACAGGGACCTACTCAAACGTACACAAAAAAGTCATCAAAATCGGTTCAGTCGTTTAGAAGAAATTCAGTGACGAACCCGTACAGTAGGTATAAAAGAATTATATATAGAAAGATTAACACTAACAAACGAATTTCGAAACAAGTGTCATTATATTTTAATTAAAGGAAAAGTTACACACCCAAATCCACTTGAAACCTAAGAAATTAGGTTTTTCTACCAAATTATGTATTGAGCAATCGTTAAACTACGCAACAGGTGAGCACGAGGAAAGTTCCCGAAAAGTTTGTTACTGGAAACGTTTCCGCTATTACTATAAATCGGTTGTGTACAGATTTCTACTAATGTCAAGGACGAAGGAATAAACGTATACTAAGTAACTTAAGTTGATCGGAACCCGAAAGTTTGCTGTGTAAACAATTTTTTTTTTGGATACCTTTTTAATTGCAAAATAAGTCAAAACAAGCTTTGAGCAAGCTTGATTTTAGTTAAGACCCGTGACCGTAACTAAGTAATTGGATACAAATCTATTGAAAATTTTATACGTTATTCGTGGTAGAGCCACGTTGCAGCTATAATATTATTCTAATGACCCACGGGATGACATCGAGCGAGGAAGGATCACGCTCTCACAGAATACCAACTTGAAATACCAGCCTAAAGGTGCTGTGTTACGTATGGCGAGTGTAGAGAACCGGAGACCCTTTTTACTGGAAATGTTTTGAAATTTATTATTCTTAACCATTGTTGTTTCATTTGTCTAATTTTAATATTTAATTACTTAAACGAAATTTACATAATAGCAGGTATCAACATTGTTCTATCAATGTAAGAATGAAATGAATAAACATTTATTACTTATTATTATTTATTATTAAACATACATTATTAATAAGGGCTGAATTTTCAATCGTAGTATGAAAGCTATCTATCAAATATCTTCTCTGCAAACCGGCCAAACTTACAGAGAAGGTTCAGAATAAGTAATACAGGCAAATGGAGAAGAAAAATTAATTACAAAAATCTCAAACATTATGTCCTTTTTATCTTTTAAATTCAAAATGCGTGGTAATGCATTATTTTAACTGATTTTACTGCACACGCATATTCGTAATGTTCGATCGGTAATCAAAAACGTTGTTACGCATAAATCACTTTCAATTTGGGATAATTTCAAATGAAAGAGGAAGCGTTATTTACTCGTATTTTCAAAAACTGCAGTAACGTTATATCATTATTTATATATTTGAACTTAAGTTAATTTGGCTACTCTTTTAAAAATAACCCTGTATAAGTTAAATAATTAAACTATCTTATTAATACAACTGTAACTTTTATGTTGTTTTTTTTTCTTCTATTATGTTGTATTCTAAAAATCGAATCTTAAAGGTTTATGATTCCATGTATCAAGTATGAAAATTAAAAACAAAATGCAAATCACACATCTTTAGTAATATAATAAGCGTGTCGAATCGAATTCCAATTTTTTATAGGATAAGGATGACAAGCGATCACACTGTCCACCTGATGGTAAGTGGTTGCTGTGGCCCATAGAAACATACATCTATCTTCGTTTGCGAATAAAATGCAGATGCGTTATCAGTCGTGAGGACTGAGACGAAATGCCTCTTTTTCAGTAAAAAGGGTCTCCGGTTCTCTACACTCACCAAATGAAACACAGCACCATTATGCTGCTATTCTGTTATTCTGTGAGATTCGCTGGTATTCTTTGAGAGCGTGGTCCTTCCTCGGTCGAGCCGACCCACTCGTGATATATATATACTATTATTATATATTATATTATATATCTGTAGCATGGCTCTACCACGTATAAACGTGTTTAGAGATGGTCTATTTGGTTAAACGTAGCCTATTTCCCGACGACAACAACACCCTGACCATGAAAATACTTCTCGTTTGTGAAAATGACGCATTATTTACGTACATTGCATTTTTTGCTCTATACAAACGACAAATATGAAAATCAATATAATATGTAATAAATTTTAAAAATAAATTCAATGACCTTGTTATTTTGCCTAAAATGCAATATTTTCCGCTACCAAAAGTTTTTTGACGTAACAATGTATAAAATAAACACAGCAGTCTACACGTTGTCACAACTTCGATGAATTAAAAAGAATATAAAATAATTTCACACCATAAAGTCAGAGTTTTAACTTCTTCTTTACGTAGTATAAAACAAAGTCGCTTCCCACCGTTCTTACGCTTGGATCTTTTAAACTACGTAGGAGGCTTTTGATGGTAGGATTTTGATGTGATTTTCATCAATAGACAGAATGATTCAAGAAGAAAGTTTATATGTAATCTTTATATATAAAAATTACCTGTCACATTGTTTGTCCGCGATGAACTCCTAAACAACTGAACTGATTTCAATGAAATTTTGCGCACTGTGTGCAGTTAGGTCTAACTTGAGATATAGATTACTTTTTATCCCGTTAAGTGACCCTCAATATTTTTAATTACGAATTTAAGAATTTTTTTATAGAACATCGGAAAGGGCAGATCAACGTCTGCCTGGCCAGCTAGTTTTATATAAAATTTCAATGTGCGCGTGTTTATAATTCCTCTCTTCCTAAACGGCTTCATAGATTTTGATAAAATTTTTGTGGGGTACTTATGAGGTTATCTGGATTGTTGCTTAGCTATAGTTGGACCCGGTAGGTGGCGCTGTTGTCGAGATTCAGTTACACTATATGTCTTAGCACCCGACTTCAGAATATGAAATTATTTTATATTCTCTTTAGTTCTTTTTTCATTTTACTTTTTATTGAAACTTATTTTTTTATTATTATAAATGTTTATAGTTGTTTAAAAGTTTTATTTATACTAAATCAAAAGTTTTATTATTCTAGTATTTCGACGTTTATTTCTTAAAAATGAAAATTTAATTACGCATTATATAATCAATACAATTATTGAGTCATCATCGAAACATCCAAAATTACAGAGAAATTAACGTTTTTTTTTTTATGGGATAACATATGGGGTGACAAACGAGCACACAGTCCACCTGATGGTAAGTGGTTGCTGTGGCTCATAGACTTCTACATCTATCCTCGATTACGAATCAAAATGCAGATGCGTTGTCCCCCGTGAGGACTAAGACGGAATGCCTCGTTTCCAGTAAAAAGGGTCTCCGGTTATCTACACTCACCATACGAAATACAGCAGCGTTAAGCTGCTATTTTGCGCTGGTATTCTGTGAGAGCGTGGTCCTTCCCCGGTCGAGCCGACTCATTCGTGCTACAACTATACCAGTAATAAAGCTGCAGCATGGCTCTACCACGTTCATAAAATAAATTTTCACTTTTTAACAATAATTAAGACACTAATTTTTAAATTATAATAGTCATGTTCCATAAAATAATGTCCTCACATAACGTTCTCGTGCTTTTTGCCATTCAAGTGCTTTATGTTGTGTTGGAGATGATTTAAGTTTAAGCTTAATACTTTTTTTTTTGTTTTTGGACTAACTATAGATTTGATTAAAGGTTAATTCCGAGTTGCACAATTTTAATATATTAATTTAAAATTGTTGATATAATATATTAATAACTTATTTAATAATAATTTATTTTTATTTTTTATTGTTAATTCAAAATTATTATTATTAATTTAATATTAAAAATTATTATCTTAGTAAGTTAACATTCCGACATATTTCCAAAAGTTGCAACAAACTTAATTAAAACTGCTAGTGCACAAATAAAACTATTACAAAATATCAAATTGTAAAATTATTTAAAATGTTTTTGAACTGAATTAATAATAATAGTAAAATATCGGAAAACTTACCAACAAGAAGAAAAGCTAAGGCTGTGTTCGGCCCCATTGTCGTACTTCAAGTGCCGCACTCCGATTACGGGACGCGCCTTTTAGCTAGGGATAGACGAGGCGCGAGAACGACCTGTGAGTAGTACGCAACCAACTAGTGCCTGCCTTATATGCTTTTTTAAAAGTTTAGAGAACAAAACATTAGTTTTGTTGCATAATAAAAACAGGTAATAAATCAATAGCGAATTTCGCGACAATCCTTACAGATGACCCACATTGCAGAACTTTAACCGTTCGCTTTTATAACTTTAATCCTGGACAGAGACCTCGTCAAAACACAGTGGGTTGTATGTGCTAAAATAAGTTTTATACGTGGTATAGCAATGCTGCAGCTATTTTATTGTTATAACACGAATAATGTAATGATTTACAAAATTTATTAAATTTTAATTTTACTATATACTTGTTTTTTTTTAATCATATTCATCATATACATTTTATCAATATTCAGATGCGTTGTCACCCGTGAGGACTAAAATGGAATGCCTCGGTTCCAGTATAAAGGGTCAGCATTAAGCTGCTATTTTACGCTGGTATTCTGTTAGGGCGTGGTTCTTCCCCGGTCGAGCGGACCCATTCGTGCTACAACTATACCACTAATTTAGCTGCCTCATGACTCAACCACCTCCAGATTTTTATGTGTGTTGTCTCAGAACTTTTTTCTAGGTGAACCAATTTTGATGATTCCTTTTATTTGAAAGCTGGTTCTTCTCATGTGGTTCCATATAAATTTGATCAAGATCTGACCAGTAGTTTATGAGTTATTCTTAATAATGCGTACATATTTAATTGACTTCGACTACATTGATGATGTTCTCATTTTACTTATATTGAAGTCGACTGACTGCCTCGTTGGTCCAGGGGTTGTAATAGTGCGGTACTGCTGATCATAAGGTTCGGGTTCGAATCCCGGGCCAGCCCAAAAAAAACAGTTATTGAGCTTTTCCATCGAGAAATTCTCAGTAGCTGCAAGGAGTCAGGAAGCTGGCGGTGTCTCACCCCCGTGCCTCGGAAAGCACGTAAAGTCGTTGGTCCTGCGCCTGATATCTCTCCGGTCGTGTAGGTTTACCGTCCCGTCTGAATGAAAGTTGGGAAATAGAGAGTACACCTGTGCTTGAGCATACACTTGGGCACCATAATCCTGTCCTGCGACGATGGCTAGTCTTCGTTGAGACCGGCCGCCGCAACCGAAATTCGGTATGGAGGACATTATTATATTGAAGTCGGTTGTACAAAATTTTTAATTTTACTACTTGTTAAAAATTTCATTTGTCTGTCCGTTTGGGCTAATCTTCAGAATAACTGAATCACAATTGTGAGGAAACTTCACGAACAGATATAAAGGAACGCTAGGAGTGATCTAGGCTATATTTATTCTGAAAAACTTGGGGTTTTTTTGTGAAATTAAAAATATATAAAAAAACAGTCGTTAATAATTACCTTTGATTTAAATTTTTTTTTATAGGATAGGGTGACAAACGAGCACACAGTCCACCTGATGGTAAGTGGTTGCTGTGGTCCATAGACATCTACATTTATCCTCGTCTGCGAATCAAAATGCAGATGCCTTGTCACCCGTGAGGACTAAGATAGAATGCCTCTTTTCCAGTAAAAAGGGTCTCCGGTTCTCTACACTAACCATACGAAACACAGAAGCATGAAGCTGCTATTTGACGCTGGTATTCAGTGAGAGCGTGGTCCTTCCCCGGTCGAGTCGACCCATTAGTTCTACAACTATACTACTAATAGAGCTGCAGCATGGCTCTACCACGTAAAAATATGATGACATAAATGACATTGATAGATACAAGTCGCGGCACGTAAGTCTAGCGATGAACGAAACGTGGAGGGGACGCGCACGAATTGAATTGCACGAGTGCGACTGAAGAACCAATCAGCGCGTGCGAACGATACGCATGAGCCAATCAGCGCGACTTACGTGCATTAACGTCATCACTAGACTTTCGTGCCGCTACTTCTACCACCTAGATGAAGCCGGGGTGGGTAGCTAGTTCTAACTAAGCTCATTGTTTTGTAAAGTACCTAATAAATATTATTTGCCTTAAATGTATTTAATAAATAAATCAGATATGTCCCTTAAACTTTGCAGGGGTTTAATTATTTATTTACATTGCATTTTTCTAGTGGGGGGAGGGGGGGCAACACCCACTTGTCGGTACCAGGCTGCCAATCGGGAACCTTTCCTACCCCTTGGTTTTAAGTTCTATGCACTATAAGGCTGGTCTATTGCCACTTCAAGTTCAGCTTCAGGACCGTGCTTTGTGGCTATCCTTGGGAAATGACAATGTTCAGCAGTGGTCTTATGAAGAGCTATAATAATGATGATGATGATAATGATTTTATTTTTAATTCGCTATATATTTTCAGATTTTCGAATGTAAAAATATGACCTTTTTATTAAAAAATTTAAACTTTTATAGAAAGTGGTACATTTATCGACTTTTCAGACAATTCGATAACTAGGTATGTATTTCATTAGGAGAATTTAACATTTTCAAGAAACCAATAGAGACAACAAAAACTGACCTGTATTTATGTTCATGCTAATTAATATCGCGCGTGAAATATTGCAGGTTGCGAGATCAGTTTTAATAGGAAATACTCCGTTGGTTACTTTTTATTACGCAACGTTATACGCGAAGCTATAAATCGCTTAGTCGATACTTACTTTTTTTTTCTCCTAGCTAATACGCGCTAACATAACAATAAATAATTTCAGACGAATTTTTTACATTTATTTTACATTTAGGAAACATTTGCCGCTTACTTTACCAGTAAATACCTTTTTACTGGTAACAAAGCATTCCATCTTAGTGTTCAGAAGTGACAACCCATCTGCATTTTGATTCTTAATCGAGTAGACGACTATGGACCATACCATTCACATACTATCAGGTGGACTGTGTATTCGTTTGTCACCCTTATTATACAAAAAATGATTGACCGTCCTTTTACGAACTATTAATATTACTTTTATTCCTCTGACATTTAAATATTCTTATATTACGATAAATATTTAATAATAATTTCTATTTATCTATAATTTTATAGAATAAAACCTTAATTTATCTCTGCGTCGAACACGAAGACCAACCGTTATAGAAGCTACGGAAGCCATCTTGATTATCATTTAATCACTGTGTTAAAATTTTGTTAAATAGATATAATCATGTAAATCATCATTTTGTTTCAACTCATTAACTAATTTGTTTGATTGAAATCGATGTGGTCTCATTATGATATCTTTAACATGGCCGCTCGCAGAAATTATTTGTCATTAATTTTAGTCATTATATAATAAATCTGTTAGATACGAGTTTCTGTAATTCATACATTTTTTTGAAAAAAAAAACACATTAGTAATTTACAAAAAACTTTCTATGTTTACATTCATATCTGCACAGATAGATAAAACTCGATAGGATTCGTAGTATTCGTAGCATTTTGATACTTAATCGAGGATAAATGTAGATGTCTATGGGCCACAGCATCCACTTAACATAAGATGGACTGTGTGCTCGTTTGTCACTCTTATTCTATAAAAAAAAAGAAAAAGAAGCAGCAAGAAACCCAGCGGGACTTTTTTTACGCACACGCTGGTAATTTTTCCGGTCGCTAAACCAATTCCGGTCGTTCGTTACGGAAAGCAAGCAAGTTCAGAATGAAGAAAGGAAAAAACCGAATGACATCATCCCGAACCAACGGGGCAAAATCTACATTTTGAGTTTGTGCGAGACGCCGTACACGAACGGAAATTTCCATTCCGAATGCAGCAGTTATCGTGACTCAGGAGAAAAAACGCATAAGGCTTATGGAAATTATATAAATTATACATGAGAGCAAAAAACCATTTATATCATCTCGAACCAACTCGAAAAATTCCTCGATTAAGAATCAAAATGCAAATGAGACTATGTAATTTAATTACACATCAAATGATGCTACGAACTATCTTATCGATTTTTATCTATTCGTGCAGATATGAATATAAACATAGAAAGCTTTTTTAAAAATCATTAATTTCTTTTTTTTTTTTTCAAAAATATGTATGAAATACAGAAACTCGTTTTTAGCAGATTTATTATATAATGACTAAAATTAATGACAAAATAGTTCGTAAAAGGACGGTCAATCATTTTTTGTATAATAAGGGTGACAAACGAGTACACAGTCCACCTGATAGTATGTGAATGCTATGGCCCATAGTGGTCTACTCGATTAAGAATCAAAACGCAGATGGGTTGTCACAATTGAAAGCTAAGATGGAGTGCTTTACCTGTAATAAGGTATTTACTGGTAAAGTAAGCGCCGAGTGGTACCTAAATGTAAAATAAAAATGTAAAAAATTACACATTACAGAACTGACTGAATCATTGCATAACCTATCCTAACCTAAGCTTACCAGAAATGATTATTTAATATAAAAGTTAAATAAAAACAAACAAAGCACTTCAAAATTACAGATACAAAACGAATCTTATATATACTAATATGCAGCTTTAAAAGAATAAAAAAACCTAACCTAACCTAACCTCATTCATATACTCATTTCTGCCTATGCCAAACTAGTTAAGTCTAAAGTAATTAGGCCAAACTAGATTCTCCTGGGCGAAACTAGTATATCCTGACACGCGTAGGATAAGCCGATTTGATAACCTAGGACAAACTAGTTTGGTCTGAAATCGAGTTTGACCGGTAAGATATGTACTTTGGAAAACAGGTCCCAATGGGTTTCTTACTGGTTCGTCCTAGGACTGAGTTTTTTTCTAAACCAGTGGTAAAACTAAAAAGTAAGTCTATATTTAATAAAAAAATATTCTATTCTATTCTATGAAATGCAAGCAACGTGTAAACGGATGCCCGAACAAAAACGTAATCGGTAATGTAACCAAAAAAACCTGACGTTTGTGGTTTGCACCCTTATTAAACTAGACTTACTAGTCTTCAGACTTTTGTCTTGTCTTCTAACCATGTAGTGGCGGTATAAGAATATCCACTACACCATATCATCCCGTGGCTATCGTAAGAGGCGACAAAAGGAAGCTGTACCGGGTGATTGGCAGCTACATCTTCCTGATAACAGCAGAATAAAAACTACTGCGGTTGCCATCCCGCTTGCACAGCGTGGCTACTATAACAAAAAAAAATGCGTGACTGTCGTGGAACACTCGGTTGGAACGAAGTACCTTGCGTAATTTATTATTGATAAACGTAGGTATTATATTATTGATTAACAAATACAAAGAAATGCATTACTAGCGTCTATTAAAATGAAGCGTCATTTGAAATAAAATAATATTTCTTTCGTGGCAAAATAAGAAAAAGTGCGAGGGAGATGGATATTATTCCATCTCACTTCCTTATTTCCGATAAGGAACTTCCTTCCAATATCCACCCTATGAAGCAATTTATGGGAGGACCTGAGTCTTCGAATTTTTACTAATGATATCTCAACCGATTTGTCAGAAATGTACAGTAAACATTGACTATGACGTAATTATTAAATAAATCTTCTAACCTAAACAACAACAGTGACGAATACAATTACATTTCACCGTTCGCAATAATTACAAAAAACTTTATATTTTTCCACAACTCGTTGTTTCGTAATATTATGTACATATAACACATTATAACTTTTAACAAATAAGTTTACAGATTTCGCCACACCATGACCATGAATAAGATTAATTATGCGTCACAACCCCTAATTAAACTGCCTCTCTTAATTTCACCCTTTAAACCTGAACATAGTTGTAGGTGCAGTGCTGAGTTGTTAGGCAGAAAAAGATTATCTAATATATAAAAATTCCGTTCATTAGATTGCGGTAAAACTTTGTCAACATATTGCATGCACTTGCGAGACGGTTATAGGCATAGCACAATTAAGTTACAGTAGGTGACGCGCAACCAGTGCGTGTTGCCAGTGATGACCTATGGAAATGAGACGTGGTCCTTCACTGCTGGCTGTATGAGGAAGGTCAAGGTCGCTCAGCGAGCTGTGAAGAGGGTTATGCTCGGGGTTTCTCTGTGTAATAAACTTAGAAATGAGGATATCCTGTGTAGAACCAGAGTGACCGATATAGCCTAACGGATTAGTAAGTCTAAGTGGTAATGGGCCGGCCATATAGCTCTAAGAACCGACAACCGATGGGAATAAAAGGTTCTCAAGTGGCGGCCTCGTACCGGCGGATGAAGTTTAGAGCGTCGCCCCACTAGATGGAGTGACGACCTGGTAAGACATGCAGGAAGTCGATGGATGCAGCTGGCTCAGGACCGTGCTTTGTGGCATTCTCTGGAGGAGGCCTATGTTCAGCAGTGGACTTGTGAAGGGCTCTAATAATGATGGTAATGAGGTGGCGTGCGTGGCGTATCTACTAATGTATTTGAAAGTTAACATATCATTCAATGAATATATTGTCATACATAATTAAACAATATAACTCTTCCAAATTTGAAACGATATTTACACAACTGTTTCTTCTGCCGCTGCCGCAGGTACCAGCTAGTATACATAAATAATAAATATAATATTATTTAGTTATATTATAAGGTATTACCAAGGACAGGTATAATATTTATAATCAAAGCTAAGGCAAGGGATTTGAATATCACATAAATTAGAGCGAAAGTGCGAAATAATCCTTTAAAGACGGATTTACATTCAAATTAATAGAAATTCTAATAAACACTATTTATTACAAATAATAGGAATATTTGCGCTCGTTAAGTCGTTGGCTTACACGAACTTAACTATTGCAAAACGGGTCTAATACTATTGAATAATTACACATATCATAAATACGTAATTAGCAATGATTTTGAGTGAACTTATGAATCAGGATTTAATAGGTTAGGTTTTTTTTTATAGAATAAGTGTAACCAACAGTCCACCTGATGTTTAGACGATGCTGTGGCCCAGAGACATCTACATTTGTCCTCGATTAAGGATCATAATGTAGATGCGTTGCCAGCCGTGAGGACTAAAATATAATGCCTAATGTTACCAGTAAAAAGGATTTCTGGTTCTATACACTTACAATATGAAACACATCAGCATAAAGCTGCTTTTTACGTTGGTATTCTGTGAGAACGAGGTCCTGCCCCGACCGAGCTGACCAGTTCGTTCTACACCATAATATAACTGCAGCGTGGCTTCATCACGTATAAAAAGTAAGGTAAGGTAAGTTTATAATTTAAAATGCCTCGTGGTGGCGAAGTAACAGATTCTATCAGCCTATCACCCTCTATTGTTTCGTGGATGCCGTAAGAAGCGGTTATGAGATATGTTAAAAAGATCTCATTGCTTCCGACAGATGGCGGTGTAACTGTTTCCTTTACGCCAGACGTGAAATACTTAGCTTGGCGCCGCAAAGCAGCATCAGAAGTGATAGCGTCAAGTGCTATAGCCAAGCGTGGTGATTTTGCGATAAGGAGAAGCCCGTGTCTTGTAATAGAACTGACTGGCTGATGAAGTAAAATAAGATAGTATCTTTTGATACGTGGTAGAACCATGCTGCAGCTAAATTAGTAGTATAGTTGTAGCACGAATGGGTCGGTCGACCGGGGAAGGACCACGCTCTCACAGAATACCAGCGTAAAATAGCAGCTTAACACTGCTGTGTTTCGTGTGGTGAGTGTAGAGAACCGGAGAGCCTTTTTACTGGAAAAGAAGCATTCCATCTTAGTCCTCACGGGTGACAAGGCATCTGTATTTTGATTCTTTATTGAGGATGGATGTAGATGTATATGGGTCAAAGCAATCACTTACCATCAGGTGGACTGTGTGCTCGTTTGTCGCCCTATCCTATATAAAAAAAAGTTTCACTACTGGGCACGATCCTTTTTGAGCGTGTAGTGGCGGTGTAAGAATACCCAGTATCCTATATCAATCTGTGCTTATCCTAAGACGCGACAAAAGGAAACAAACAAGGAAATGAGCATCAGTGTCTTCCTAATAACAACTTAAATTTAAAAAATCTGAGATACGGTTGATCCTGCAGGAACCTGGAACTTCTCGCTTATTTTCGAACGCAACGTTCGAAAGTCTCTTGCTTTTTGTTTTTATATTTTGAAAATCTTTGAAACGGCTCGACCGATTAACTTGAGAATCTAATC